GGGGGGGGGGGGGAGCTGCTGTATTGTAGCGCCTGCGGGCAATGCTCCCAGTCAATATATATCTCCACACTCGCTCCTGCGCTCCTATTTGAGCGGGACGCGCTGCCCTCTCAGTGCCGCTGCAGAGGAGTGACAGCCAGCCACACCGGGACGCTCTCCAGGTACGGATGAATACATTTCCTCTTCTACTTCCAAGTAGCTCGTGGCATGCACGCAGGTTGGTTTGTCAAGATTAAGTAATATTTAAAAAAATAAAAAAGTAACTTATGTAGAGTCCTGCTGTGCATGGAGCCTTTGCATGCATTTAGAAAATGCCTTTGGTGTTGTTGCATTTTATTTTGTAGTTTTTAAAATATAAAAGTGTTTGGTTTCAGTATGAGCTTATAGTTAATGTAGTTTGCTGATGTTTAATACTTAATGTGGTCACAAAATGTTATAAACTATAGTTTATTTTATATTTTAAGTTAAACTAAAGGTCAATTGTATACACTGCATTTCCACAAATGTAATTAATCATTTAAATGTTATAATTATACAGTATTATAAAATGTAATTAGGATGCATTTCCTGTAACTAAGAATTATTATATTAATCCAGAATTAATTTATCACCAGCAGCATTATCTGATGTTTGCACGTCAAATGTAAATGCCAGTTTATCATTTTTCTATTGGTGGATACAATAAAGTCAAGGCTTTTGCTTGTAGAAAATGTGTTTTCTTAAACAGCTGTTTGGTTGCAACATCAAATTGAATTAGAAGGATATTTGTTTCGGGCTTATTAAAAACTGAAATATGAAACAGAGATTAAGACTACTGACAATAAATGTGTGATCTCTTTCTTCTTTTCCAGGCAACCAGCGCATCATCCTGACAACCTTCTTAGGTAAATTGTTTAACTTAAAGTTTGAATTTAAAAAACACAAGAGCTTAAAAACAACTTGAGTTACAGTCACTGTGTGCATTTGCTTACTGTACAAATAGTCCGTCCCATAGGCTGTCAGTGGTGTTGTTGCTGTTGCATGTAACTTGTCAAAGCTTTTAGTGTGGTGAACCTCCTTAATTGCAACAATAGATGTTCAAGCGGCTAGGCTTGTTTGATCATCAACCCTAAAAGCTTAAAACATGACCGCAGGGTTTGGATATGGGGCAGCGGGGGGCCAAAGTGCACAGTCAGTGGAGAGGCCAGCGGATAGCAGTGGCCAGGAGAGGAAAAAAAAAACTACTGTAAAAATGATTTTTATTGATTGGTTCGTACTAGCAGCTGTTAGGCTCCATTATGAGCTCAAAGCCCAGGTCAGAGCCCCGGGGCGGACAAGTGAGCCAATCGAATGGTCAGCCACTAAACGAGCCAATTCTGAGGGTTCAATTGGGAGAGCAGTTGGTAACAGCCTGCCATCCTGTGTTAGACTCACTGTGTCTATTATCATCACCCATCATCGTGCTGTGGGTTTTATAGATGAGCTTGTCTGCTGTCTCTCAGTGTAACTGTGTGTGCTTCGCTGGCCTTTATCTCAAAACTTTGTCACAAGCCTGTATAAGACAGAAAAAAGGCTGGTTGGTGAAGTTTATTTTTACTTCAGTTTGGACCCTGAACATCACACAGACTTTCATCTTTGAATGACCTGGGGAAAAAGACAAAATAAAAGCCTCAGAGCAGAGTGTTTTAAATTGAGGAGCACACTCCTCCTCACATCTTCTTTCACCGCAGGGTCCACCCAACAGCCTGGCTTAAAGTATAAAAAGATCACAAAGTTTCTGTAATTTAACAGATGAAAAAAAAGAACATTTATTGTAGGGGATTTCAATTTATTTTTGGGGATTAGTGGAGAGAAGGGTAGTAATTAAACTAATGCTGTGGGTTCGTGTTTTAAATGATGAAGATAAAAATGAAAAAAGAGAACACAAGAGAGTGAACAGTTTACATTAATAAATAGCAGATCACTTCAAAACTACAAAATAAAATAACGTAAAATAATACATTGATTTTAAAGTTTTTACCCTTTCTTATAAGACACCAGTCAAGTTACAAAACCTAGAATCCATCACAAAAATTAAAGCCTTTTAAAAATTCCTTCAGTATAATATATCGTACATCATAATGGCTTAAAATTACAATGTAATTATGCTATTATTGCTCATAATAGCACTCCAGAGGTAGTAAGGCGAGACAGTACAGGAGAACATGTGAACTTATGCACCATGTCCTGACCCAGATCCCAGACCTGGCACTAATGACGCCCTATAGGCATGACGCCAGGCTCTCATTAGGAACCAGGCCTCAAACCCCCAACTCCTCTATCTCCCTTCTACACCCACCTCTCTGCAACCCTCAGCCTGGGCCCGTGTTGTGCCTGTAGACGACCTCCGAGGTTCCGGCCCTAAACTCACGCGGGCCTATGAGTGTTGTTAAGGCCCCCTGCACAGGTGCAGAGTCTCCTGTGACAACCCTGTTTGCCCCCCAGCCCTGGACCCTGCTAGCGCCTGGTACTGCAGTGGAACTAATGAGTAGTGGCAGGTAAAGTGAGAACAGAGCAGCGTGGGCCTCCCTGCAGTTAGGTTAGTGGCAACCCTCAGCTTAGGCAGGCAACAAATGGGGTCTCATAATACACATATGTGCATAATGATATATACCACCCCTCAGTGCACACACAACTTTATCTCCGATATTTAGATTTCTTAGAGGGCTGCATTCCTGCAAGCTGCAAGCTTTTCAAAACAAATAGGGAAGTGAAATCGAAAGGTATTGGTAAAATGTAAAATGCCTAATCTTTCCATTTGTTGTCTCTGATCTGTTGATGTTTTGCTGTTTCCAAGTTTATCCCCTTTACTTATACAAAACGGTCTTGTGTGTTCACAGGTCAAGAAATGATCTTTTTCATCTACCTAGCAAACTGAGGAAAAACCCACATCCAATGAAATGTACCCTGGCACAAAAGATAGATAATTAAAAATCTATCTTGAATTTTCATCATTTTAATACAATCACACAATCTTAACAAATATCAAGACGCAATCATGTCCAAGGACGATGCTTGTAAAGTGACGTCTGCCAGCAAACACAAGGAGCGCAAGCCTAAGAAGCCTCACTATATTCCCCGGCCATGGGGCAAACCCTACAACTACAAATGCTTCCAGTGCCCCTTTACCTGCATGGAAAAGTCCCACCTGTACAACCATATGAAGTACAGCCTGTGCAAGAACTCCCTTTCTCTGCTCATAGAGTCAGACTGGCCATATAAAAAGGGCAACATCCTGCACCCAGAGCAGCTACGGCCCTTTCAGCAGGCACATGGCCTTCAAGCTACTGGGAAAGATGGGCTGGAGCAGGTAACAGGGACTGAGGAGAGACAGAGGCAACGAAGGGCTGTGGAGGAGGAAGGTGAGGACAGGGAAAGCCAGGGAGCAGAAGATGAGGAAGAGGGAGGACGAGGAGAGGGAGTGGAGGTCACTGGGCTGACGAAAGACAGCTCTGGTAACAACAGAGGAGACGCCGCAGAGTGCGCTACCAAGAAAACCAAACAGCCAGAATCAGAACTTCTGATGGCTGACATGCTCTCCCTGGAAGATCAGCTTTTACGGGCGCGCTCAGTAGAGGTAGAGGCCCAGCTCAAACACTACAAGCTATCCAAGACATGTCTAACAGCTCCTGGCCTGCTGTCGGAGCAGTGGCGGTTGTTAGCGTCCAGCCACACTAAGGCAAAAGCTGAAGGAGCTCAGCCCAGAGTGAGTAGTTCAATCCCCTGTTACCCTCCTCCGCCGAACCTGGTGGATTACCAGGATCCCACTGGACTCAACCTGTCCATGCTCGGGGTGGGTTACCCCATCAGCCCCAGCCTCTTCTCCTACATGAACTCAGCCATTCCCACTGCTGCCGCGGGTGTCAGTGCCCAGACCCATGCGCAGCTTGCCCAACTTCCCTTTCTGGCATCGGCCGCTCAACTGATGCACCCAGCCTCCAGCACCCACACAGACAGAGCTCTAATCCCCCCTCGTCTCTACTACCCCTTCCTGTGTGAGCACGCATTCGGAACGGCCTCTAGTCATAGCGATGCCAGCAAAGTGCTCAAGACATCCACAAACAATCTAGAAGCGAATCCCCTGTCTGGCTTCCAGCCCAAAGTAAATCTGTGGAAAGTGCCTGCTTTGCGGCCAGGGACTACCGCAGTCTCCCCTGCTGGCTGGGTATCACCTCAGAGAGACTCTCCTGACTTGGGGTACAGGTTGGGGGATAAACTGCAGGCTACAACAAAGGAAGGTAAAGCCAGCTGGGGACTCAAGAGGACAGGGGCCCCACTGGGGAACCACGAGGCACCCGTGGACAAGAAGCCGGCCATGGGTTTCACTCTGGACTTTCTGAAGAATATTCAGACTGCATCAAATCTAAATATGGCAGCGGACAAACTTCTCTTCCATGGAAGGTAAAGATTTCCATAAAATGTTATTTTTTAATAATTATAGTAAGAGTAGGAGTAGGAGAATGATCACTACTTTTTCCATCATGTAATTATTTAGACGGAATATTACAAATGTAGGGGTACTTCATTTTGTTTTACTGTAGTCTCATATATGTAACAAAAAAAAGCCCTTAAACTTCTCCCATTCTCAGTTTACAGGATGCCCAGCTTCAGACCCGGCCCACTGAACTATGGTACAACAATCCTCTCACCAGTTCCAACAGTGAAACATCCTCTCTTTCTACCTGTGGAGGACCCAACAGCCAGGACACAACTGCTGCCCAGAAAATGGGGGAGGGAGCTTCAGAGTCAGTGGCTGCTCTCCTCAGTGACCTCTCCAAGGCGTTGCAGGAGTACCAGGAGGCTGAGCGCAAAATCTCCCACCTAGAAAAGGAGGACCTTCCTGCCCAGCGCCACCTCTGGGAACACCTGAGCAAAATCCGCAGCGAGCTCTCCCACATCCACCAGGCGCTGGAGCGGACGGCTCGCCAGAGCGACGGGCCTCTCGATCTGTCAGTCAAGAGGGTCTCGTCAGAGTTGGTTGGTGACCACGGCCTGAGAGAGGATGGCAGCCTTAGAGACAACACGACAGAGACAGAGGAGGAGGACGAGGAGCTGGAGGATAAAAAGGAGGAAGAAGAGAATGAGAGCGAGAGGAAGGCGATGAAGGCTTCACTGGAGAGTCGTAAGCAGTCTTTGGACATGCTGATAAAGATGAGTCAGGCATCGGTGGTAAACACAGAGGTTCTCTCTCCCGGTGGTCTTGGCATGAGGCCCAGTTCTGCTGAGGCCTTATGGCCGAGCAGAGCCACAAAGTGTGAGGCAGACTCCAGCGTTCTGCTCTGCCCCGACGGTCGATCAGTGGTGTTCACCGACATCCCCTCCTCTGCCAAAACCCCAAAGAGACCCCCGTCCATACAGCGACTAGAAGCCCAGTGTCCCCTGAGCCCTTTGACAGCGACTGACAATTAAACTCCTGTTCTTCTGACTGTAACATAACTGATTCCAAACAGTTGTTCAAATGCAGTTGTCTTCATTATTACTGGCATGTATTTGATTTTCACTGGCTGGAGGAGGACTGTCACTCTTATTCTCAGTTTAACTCCACAAAAACCTCGAACATTTTGCACCTTATAAGACAAACAGAGAATGAATGACAATATTTGAAAGGAAAGTCTTAAAAATGCACTGTGGACATTGATTGTTACAATAATATTCTCCTGGAAATAATTTAAAAATGTAACATCAGCAACAATAATTTACATCAGAATAATTTGAACAATTAAATCCATTAAAATCATGTTGAGGGACAATCCTTTAAATGGATTTGTAAATATTGTAATTACTTAATAAATGTAAGTAAAATGTTTTAAAGGGTAAATGGTTTTATATGGATAATGTCATGTTGGACTGCATTATTTCACTTGATGACAATAAATTGTATTATACACACTGTATTTCTTTGAATAAACTGAGTAAAAACAAAGAGTTTCATTCTTTTTATTGAAGTGGAATATAAAATTTAAAATGGGAACAAATTATTTAAACATAAATCCATCTTTGTAATGTTTGTTGTTCAGTCCTGTTGGGTAATTACGACCATAGGGCTAAATGCCATCAACACAATCATTTAGAGTCTAAATAAGCGACAAACATAGTGGCTGCAACACCTGACTCTGCTGTATCGGCCCTGACATAGTCAGATGGCTGCACTAAAGGTGAAGTAGCTCCTTAAGCTAAACTGCCACCAGTGGCGTCACCTGTGTCTCTGCTCGTGCCCCCTGCAAAGGTCAGGGCCCCAGGGTCGAGCTCCACAGACTAAATGGAAGACTACCTGTCGCCCCCAGGACAGGCACCTCACACTGGGCTGCCCTGTGTCGTCTGACCCCTTCACCACCCTCACACTCAAGATGTAGAAGCAAAGGTCAGCTGCCATAACCAGAAGAGGTCACAGTGGATGTTTAGGTCCAAATGCCTGCCTCATCCTTTTCATTTTTTCAGTTTAGACTTTATATTGGCTGAATGTCGAGTTATTTCAGAAACCATATTTGAAATTTAATACTAATTTACTTACTACTATGTTCTATAAAAACAAGAAAATATTTGCAAACAATAACAATTTAAGGTTTTATGAATAATATATATTAAGAAATGTGAAAAGCATCAACATAGAAAAAAACCCAAATACTTCTTGTTTATTAAAAAAAAATTTAAGAAATCAGCTGGTCTGGTCTGACTGGTTTAAGAGTCTCTGCTAAATGCCAATGTGGATGTTTTAAACATGAAAAGCATTGCACTCGCTCTGTTGTAGCGCCAGGATCCAAGTAGATAGCGCCCTCATGTGGACATTTGATTTAGAGCTAGAGGGACAGCATGGCACATTGAGCACCTACATGGTGCTAAAAACAAGTGATCTTTGTACTACATTTTCTCAGTCGTCTGAAACTTATCACAGTCACAATCGGCGTGTCTTTAAATGTCATTACCAAGACAACTGACCAGAACAAGAACTATTTTCAGTAGTGTGAAGTGTGTAGAGTGAAGTGAACATAACTTCCTTCCTCAACTGATTTCAGTTAATAAGAAGTTGTGCAAACTGAAGGAGCATAAGAGGAGCATAAAAGGGTATGTTCATATATTTTGTAATTGTTAGGGTTGGGACACACTTAGTGATACTGTAATGCTCAAATCTAGACTAAATAAAAATTTAAAGTAAAGGTATTTATATTAAATATATCACAGTACAGAGTCAGAGTGGAAGTAAGTAAGAGGAACAACATACAGTAAAAGGTAAAGGAGATCTTTTATAATGTACAGCACTGTTAAAGTTGTCACATTAATTCAATATTGTCAGTTGTACTGTTGATTGACTTCCACAAATGGCTATATCTACTTCTATGCTTAATTAAACCAGTGGTTCCCAACCTTTTTCTTTAAGAGACCCCTTTTCTATCATTGAGTAAACTGACAACCCCTGACTAAGTGACATATTCTATGGGTATTTTATATATTTTATATATACTGAATATTATATTCAATGCATAACAGTAGAGAACAGCTGATAAACTATAGAATGAACGCAAATAGTGAACACAACAACTGGAGGAAGTTTGTGTCAAACAAGCGATTTGGATGAATTTTGAATAGATTTCCTGAGAACATGATATTTTTAGAATTATTTGTCTGTATTTGTGGGTGGTTTTTTTTAAGGCTTTTTTTTGACAAAACAGTGTTTTCTTCCCCCTGATGCTCAGCCATTGTTCTATTAGCTATTTGGTTGCTCTGTGTTCTTTTCTAATGCAGGTCGAGGCTGTTTAGCAGAGAGAGAAGGCTCTGTGAATATAGCTTGTGTTCACCGTGCCAAAAAATCAGGTAGGCCTACTGCAGATGCTTATTCAAATGTCAGTGCAGCAACTTTGTGAGATTATCCTTTAACTTCCTCACAAGGTTTTTTTCTCTTAACACATTTTTATATTTCTTTGGTCAGACCGCTGTGCAGCTGTCAAGTAAAATGGTGCAAACTCTTCTGTTCCTGCTTTTGCTCAATGCCTCGGCCTGCTGTGGTTTCGGCTTTAAAGGCTGCTCTCAGAACTACCCCATGACAAACACCATGTGGTGCTTCAACCAGAACATTGATAACCTCTCTGATGTCATTAGCATGCTCCCAGATAACATAACAACAATCAACCTGTCTATGAACAAGATCAGAGTTATCCCATCTGGATCATTCAGTCAGGTGTTTGGGCTCGAAAGCCTGGACCTGAGCCAGAACCAACTGGTTTCTCTAAAAGGAGGAGAATTCAGAGGCCTGGATGTTCTGCATTTTCTCAATCTCACTTGCAACAACATCTCATACATCCACTCCAATGGCTTTGATGGACTCCCCAGCCTGAAAATCCTGCTTCTGACCCACAACATGCTTTCAACATTTTCTCCAAGTCTCTTCAATTCCCTCCCAGCAATTAAAGAAATCAATCTGTCTCTGAACAAGCTGACGAACTTCAGCTGTGGAGCATCCTCCACTCTTCAGCAGCTCGATCTTCTTGCAAACAACATCCAGAGGGTTAATGTGAGCTGTTTTCCTGCCCTTGAATACATCAGGCTGTCCAACAACTCAAAGCTGGAGCTGCAGGCAGATGTTTTTGCCTCCAACCCCAGACTGAATACTCTGCTTTGTAAGGGAGTTAAAGCAGAGATGCTAATGGGACTATCTGCAGAGAAAAAGAAGAATCTCTCTTGGGTGGAATTTTCTCTGTTTGTGGAGAAATCTCCATTGACTATCTGTGGATTGCTGAAAGGAATGGACAAACTTGAGAGATTAGAGGTATGTGGACTTCTTGAGACACAACATTTTCTTGCTTATGTAACATCTATTTTTTTTAAAGAAATATAATATGAATTTCCTTTGATACAGGTTGACTTAAAAGGATCCAGGTTACCTCAGGCTAACACCACCCTGCTGGACTGCGCCACTCCACACGTGGTTGTTATTGCGGATGCAAACCTCGGGAATGTGGCCCAGTTGTCGCTGGGGAGGGGGAAAACAAGCAGGCTTTATCTCATCAACTGTGGGCTGAAGCAGATATCTCGTACCACATTTGGCGGTTACCAGGGACTGGAAACACTGCAGCTGAATCAAAATAAGGTTGTCATTCAACAGGACACATTCAAAGGCCTGACCAACCTCACCTTTTTAAGCTTCGACAGGAGCAGAATTCGTGACATTGACCCTGAGTGGTTTATCCCTCTGAAGAAACTGACTCGCCTGTCTCTCATGAAAAATGAAATCACTGAGTTTCCACCAAATGTATTCAGTGCCCTTACTACACTGGAGCAGCTCTACCTACAGTTTAACCTGCTAAAATACATCTCCAGGAAGCCCTTCAGTAAGCTACGGAGGCTAAAGAAGCTCAACCTCAGTTTGAACATCATTGATTTCATTGAAGAAGGCTCCTTCCATGACCTGACAAAGCTCGAGTATTGAGTATTCTCTGCTTGTCTGTACAGCGTTTCTCAATTTAGCTCATTGTCCATTTATTTAACACATCTCTCTGTCCATTAGATACCTGGACTTAAGTGGAAACCGCATCAAGAGGCTGACACCATCTATTCTGTATGGCCTGACGAATTTGAAGACAATTGTTCTGTACAACAACCGCCTTCATTTTAAATCCTATGAGAGTCCTTTCATCAACCTTACTTCTCTGGAGGTATGACATATTTTTTGGTCAGTAATAAAGAAGAGTGATGCACTATAAATCTATTGTTTTATTTGTTTACCTGTCTATCTTCCATGTCTAATTTGCAGCTTCTGGAGATGAACTACCAGGGGCCCGGAGGTCGAGGCATTGGTAACATTGGACCGCATTTCTTCCAAGGTCCAAGTCAACTTATCTCAGTTGCCATCGGGCACAGCATCATGATCGACTTCCATCCTGACGCTTTAGTTCCTCTGGTCAATTTGAAATACCTGTACATTGCTGGAGTGGTTATGAAAACCACCAACCTGAGTGCAGTGTTGTCCCCTCTGAAAACACTGAAGAAGCTGACTCTTTACAGGGCAGACCTTGATGCTCTGCCTGCTAACCTGCTGCCTCCAGATAATACACTGGAAGTTCTCAAAGTCCAGTCAAACCACATCCACACCATGGACAAAATGGTGCTGGATGCTCTGCCAAGGTAGAGGAGCTACTAAAATGTCTGGCAAGCAGCTCATAAAGAAATAGTTTTGAGATTTTGAGAAATAATAATCTTTCTCACCAAGAGTTGAGAAGATACCCTCAAGATACTCTCAAGCTACCATCAGCAGCCTTTAAAGAGCCATAAACAGTTAGCATGGCTACTAACAGCAAGTTGTGGTTTTATGGGCTGTCTGCTGCTTCTGTGTCCACTTTATCTGTGCTGGCATATAGATATATGGTGTGAATTTATTAAAACAGTCAATCTTAGTGCATGTTTGTGTGTCTTTCTAGATTGCTTATATTGGACATTACAGATAACCCACTTTCCTGTACCTGTGATAACGTCTGGTTCAAGAGCTGGGCCGTCCACAACACTCAAACCCAGGTAATTCTGACAAGCATTAATGTAGGTTATAAACCAACTAAAAGTACATGGCTATGACTTATTATGACTGTATAAATCTTCTTGTTTCCCTTCCAGGTGTCCCGCCTATACAACCTGCAGTGTGACAACAACAGGAGAGCTACCTACCTGTGGCAGTTTGACGATAAGGCCTGCTCCTATGAACAGGTTTCCTTCACTCTCTTCATCGCCTGCTCTGTGGTGGATATGCTGTTTGTATGCGTGTGTCTGGCCTGGCACAAACAGGGCCCTACTTTGCGCTTCCTGCTACTCACCCTTAAGGCAAAACTACGTGGACGTAGGGGCGCAGCAGGAGCCAGATACCAGTATGATGCATTCATCTCCTACAGCTCTAAGGATGAGGCCTGGGTGATGAAACAGCTGGTGCCCAGTCTAGAGAGGCCAGCTACTGGTGCACAGAGGCTCAGACTGTGCCTCCACCACAGAGACTTCCGCCCCGGTGCTACTGTTCTGGAGAACATCGAGGCAGCCATTTACAACTCTCGCCACACCATCTGTGTAGTGACACGTCACTTCCTGCAAAGCGAGTGGTGCTCTGTGGAGTTTCAGCTGGCAAGTCTGAGGCTTTTATTTGATGGCAGTGACGTCCTGCTGCTGGTGTTCCTAGAGGAGATACCCGAACACTGCCTGTCGCCCTACACACGCTTACGCAGAATCGTTCATAAGAAGACCTACCTGATGTGGCCCGAGGACCCAAAAGAGCAGGACGCTTTCTGGGTCAGACTGATAGATGCTTTAAAAGGAAATGAGGAGGAGGAGGAGGAGGAGGAGGGAGGAAGAGGAGGAGATGATGAGTTGGCACGGCTAATTGGCTAGACCAAATGGTAAATATTTCAACATGCCCATAATTATCTTTTTACAAACTGCAAAGTGTATTGAGCAGTGTTTTGGTGAGATTTTAATTTCCAGGCTGTAACTTGGTACTTATAATTACCAAATATTAACCAAATAAAATCTATTTAATAGGAAATTAATAAAAAAAAAAAAACCAAATAAAATATGTAATGTCATATTGTTGTATTGGAATGACTTGTAGTTACTGAGTTGTTGTTTTTTTGTATTTTTGGGGGCTTTTATTGCCTTTTATTGCCTTTTATTGCCTTTTATTGATAGTGACAACCGAAGATAAACAGGAAAGGGGGGCAGAGAGAGGGGATGACACGCAGCAAAGGGCCGCAGGTCGGATTCTAATCCTGGGCCGCTGCAGCAAGGACTCAGCCTTTGTACATGGGATGCCAGCTCTACTAACTGAGTTAACCGGGTACCCTGAGTTACACATTTTTAACTGTATATGGATTACCCTTTGTAGTACTATTGTTACAGTTACTACAATTTCACTGTACTCTTACCTTTGTTAATATATAAAGACCCAATAAATACAGGACACACCTTTCTATGACGTGTACACTTTTTGGCTTTGTCAGTGTTTCGTTAGTTTTAAATTGTTTTCATTGTGCAGACTTACAGTGGACTAAATTCAACAGATGGATTTAAGTTTATTTAACTTTTTTAAAATTTACATATCAGATTATACATTTGTAATGGGTTTAAAATAGTATGTTTACAAGTAGCTTTGGTGAGTAATATTTTATAAATATTGTCTTAGGTAGCTATAAAACTATATAAAGCTAGCAGTAATAATGACTCACTTCTTGTTTATTCTGTGCCCATTATATTACTGCACAGTTGGAAAAGTACTGCAAGTAAAAATCTATATTTAGCTTCTAGCTAAGCTCTGTTTACTCACTGTCTGGTTGGTGTGACTTAATGTATAACTTCACCAACAGTGTGCTAAGCTCGAGTAACTTTGTGTGACTAAGGAGTCTCCAATAGAAAGAGAAACATTAACCACCATCCGCCAATACTACATTGGTTCATCATCACATGGATTTCCATTATTCCAGGAACAAAAACATGTTACTCCAAGATTTCCAAACACTTCATTTATTTGACGTTATACATTCAAATGAAAATAAAAAATATTCATATATATTTCATATAGAGCTAGTGAGCAAGGTACAAGTTTAAAACAAAACACAGAAGTCTTCCGTGTGGCATATATATTTACAAGGCGTGGTTTGAATACTATACAGTGTGTATCCATAGCTGCACAGGTTTCATGGATGTTTATATTCTTTACTCAGTTGAGGCACGACTAGATTTCAGTGAGAGGTCAGGGATTGGGCCAAGTGCTTCAAGACTGCCGCTTACAGTAAAACATTTCAATCTCAACACCTAAACAGTAGGACTTGCAAAGCAAAGCTTATTAGTGTTAAGAGTTCCACACTAAAGCATAAAGTAGGAAAACGAGGCAACATGATCATTCAGCAATTCGAATGATACTGTACAGTCATGCAAAGTACTAAATAGTTTTTCTGAGATGATATTCTCACACCAAAGTCAAAAGTGAGCAAACACAAATTCAGGTTTTAAGAAACTTAAAAAAACAACAACAATCCAGTATCACTAACAAGTCACGGTTGTTCACTAAATTTGACAGAAGTCAGGATGTTTGGTTGCACTGCAATAATTGACTTGAAGTCACTACACCAATTTGAGACAAATAAAAAAAAAAAAAAAAGAGATTCCTCAAGTAGTCAAGTGATAAGTGCAATCCCACCCCTCTTTACCCCTTCACACACAGACACTCCATTTTTATAAAACTCTCATACACAAGCAAGGTAAGCATCACATTGATTTCCACTATCAATCAAACCATAGTTATAGTACAGCAGATGCCCCAACAATCAATAGCAAACCATACTCTTATATATATCCAGTAGTTATGTACAACAGAACTGGTGCAACATTAAACACATTAAAAATTATTAGATATAGAAACTGTAACAATAATAAAATACAGCAGATACTTAATTCATATTGGGAAATATATATTATTCATACTGTGTATTGCTGTCTGTTTTGGCATTCTGGAGGATTAATAAAAATGCTGTCATGTATCCCTCTCACAGCTTATTTGACACATCTCCAACTTGGACAGATTATACATCTATGTATTTTTTTTTAAAGGAACCTTACACAGGATTGATTCAATAAAACTTTTCCATTAACTTAAAAAAAACAAACAAAAATATGACAACTTATTAGAGGCATGGAAGCAGCAGGTCCAGTTTTAGAATTGACCGTGACAGATTTTTTCCATTTCCTATAAGAGTCTTCAGCTGATGCTGGCATGGCCGTAGCAATCTGACCACACACCAAGGTCAGGGAAGGGAAAAGAAGCTTGAGATTTTTGATGTTCAAATCTTTTTGGAATCTTTTGCCTCAAAAAGCTTCATACGTTCCTGCACAGTTAGTCCCTCTTTCAGGCTCTGTTAGGATAAGAAAATAAAAAACTATTTTATTGTTAATAGATGATAAGGGCGCATTTGGGCAGAGAAGGGAACATTAAAAACAAAAACATGCACACAGACATCACAAAACTCTTATGTTTTATGATAGCCAGTTGTCAATCTCAGACACTCTTCTGCTCTAGATTACATACTTCCATTTCATTTTAAGATGTACAGGAAAAAGTGGTTATACTGGAACATGATCATGCCACACAAGACTGTACGTACCGTTGCGCACACTGACAAACAAACAACAATTACAGAAAGGGTATTTAAATTGACGCAGCAGAACAATGTTGGAACATATGAGATATTGCATTAAAAAAAAAAAAAATAGCTTCATTAGTCCACTGATATTCACAAACAACCCAAACAACTTACAGCCTGTAAGCTTAATGTAATTTTGGGGAACAACACATGGGTGACATCATTAAATATGACTAGGTTGAAAATGACATCATTAGGGGATTTTTAAAGAAATCGCCTTGGTCTGTCCAAAGAAAATAATCAACCTACCTGCACTTCTCAACCGCACTAATAGTAATATCTTACTTATTTAACCGGCTGTAAAAGCACAATTTGTTGTTTTTACACTATGTTTTTTGTATCAATAATTAGCAAGCTTTAGAGGGGCTGGTAGGTAGGTATTTTTATTTTTTTTTTTAACCAAGCTTGGTAACAGTCATGTTTCCTGTTTTTATGCTAAGATAAGCTATACAACTGCTGACTGTAGCTTCGTATTTACGTGCTATTAATTCTCACAACACTCATCAAAAAAGTGAATAAAGTATATTCTCCCAATATTATTTTAAGCGAAGTGGAATGTAACCAGAAAGGTTATTAAACTGCTAATCCCCACGCCTGTGATATTCAACTGAGGGGTGGACACTGCAATCAGCTTTGGTGGTGCAGGTAGGGGCAAAAAGGAAAGGTCTGGGTGAGGGGAGATCATGCGAGGGTGTTAAGGGCATGCTTTTCTCTACGTCATGTTATACCTACAGCACATCTTGGGACGGGGGTTGGGGGGGAATCATCCCACAATGGGAGTGTCAGCTATCCCATGAGACCTGTTCAGTGACAGACTGATGGACAAAACAGACAGATGACAAACTTACAGGACAAGAGTAAAAATGTCCTGACCGACCAACTGTGGAACACATTTCTACAGTATGATGTGGTTGAGCTGCAACGATTAACAGTGATAACGTCTGCACGACAACAGCTTGAACATCACAGCACACAGCAAACTGCAATGGTGCCTGGATTTAACTCCAACTGTATGTTTGAGACAAACTGTCTGTAATCAGGGAAGCAAAAACTATTTAATTCAACTTGACACTCACCTTTGACCTTACGCCTCTTGATTGCTTGAATTGCTTTTTCATGAAATCTGGATTACTTTTTGATTTCATAATATCTAAAAACACAATGAAGGTTATGCCATTATTAACATTAACCAGAAGTTACAGTATGTGCATGTGTAAGATTGAAAAAAATATATATAAATAAATTTAATAAGCAATTTCTGGCATCTATAAATGATAAAAAAAAAACTGGCAAAAATAATTGTTGTATGTTTGTTGTTATGTTAACAATACCTTCCTAAAATAGGATTTTAATGTACATATGATTTAATCTGCCTCATATAAGTGCTAGATCAGACCAGAGGTATGTAGGAATAAAAACACCCATTCATTTAGGGGTTAAAAATGTTAAACTGAAACTGAATAACTGCAACAAAATAGCAGTGAGAATGCAAATTACAACCAAATTTAACAAAATGTTTCACACTGGACCTTCAAAAGGTGGACTTTAAAAAGATCAAGAGTTCAATGGTAACTGAACGGGGGTACATAATGATTAAACGTAAACATGTTTTATGTACCATATCCAGGCGTGACCGTTCCATCGACAGTCCTCTCGCCTAAAGCTTCTGTGGCAATGAGCAGTTTCTCCTTCAGTTTGCTGATGTCGCAGTCAGCCTTTGCTTTCACAATGCTGAGCTCTGTATAGATGCCCTTATATTTGTCTGTGGCATATTTCTTGTCCTGTTGAAATGAAATCAATGATCAGTTTTTTTTATTCTGTTACAAAACATGAAGAAATACAGGTACATAACTTCAATAAATTTCTTAAAACACATAGTTTTTTCTTACTCTTAAAGCAGACTGCAGTTCATCTTTCAAAGAGTGGATTTCCTGTTTGAGATACTGGATCTCTGACTCTTTAATTCGTAGCAACACCTATAGTATGAAGAGAAACACTCATAAGATTAAAGAACAAATCCTTACTGAATGTGTGTGTGTGTGTGTGTGTGCATGGTGTGTGTACACATACCTCCAGTTCATACACATCTTTGCCCTGGGTAAGTGGTGACAGTGCTGTTTCACCGCTGAAACAGGAGCGCATCCGAGTGATCTCTGCAGTCAGTCGGTTATTTAATTCCTGTTGGACAGAATAAAGTTATCTTTAAACTTGTGGACAGAAATGTTTTTGTATGTAAACGTGCATATCTGTGCATTCAAACCTGGTTGTGAGCGTTTAACTCCTGGTTCTCTCTCTGACACTGCCTGAGTGCCTGCCTCTCGGCCTCCAGTGCCTGGGCCAGGTGAGCGTTCTCCAGACATTTCTGGGAGTACTGCTCTGACAGCACCTCCAGTTCTCTCTGGATGGACTGCAGCTCCTCCCTAGACAGGTCATCACAATATCAACTGGAATTCTCATCTGATATTTACCAGTGTTTCTGGGCCAGGAAGTAAGTTCCTTTCATCATAGTGACTTTCACAAAAGTTACTTAACAAGTTGCTCCAGTTTATCAGCTACATATGATCTTTTTGGCAGACAAGACAAAGGATTTACAGAGAGCAACAAGGAGTTAACAGACACACTGACAAAACATTTTCCCTAAATCAAAGAAGTCAAATGAACTTGTGAGCTCCTTTCCAGGAAATATTTTTCTCTTAAATATTAATGACGCTGTCAAAAAACATACTCATATTGCAAGCGAAGTTCATCAATGTCAGTGTTCACTCCACTCAGTTGGGAGCGATGGGTCTTCTCCATTTCCTCCTTGTGCGCATTCTTCATCGCTTCAATAGCTACATTATAGACAGATCACACACACATTTAATTACTGTCTTTTTTAAAGTACAGCATTATGAGTGGTAATACAGGTAATTTCTTTACCAGCAATTGTGGCAGCAGTCTCCTCAGCCAATAGTCTCTCTCGCTCTTCCATAAGTTTAGAAATCTCCCTTTGATGCTGCCTCTGGAGGTCTTGTATTACCTTCTGGTGTGTTTCTTCCATTGCTGCAAAGCCACGTTCACACGTGGCCTAAAGGAAGAAGGATCAACAATGTGTCATCACAAAATTCACTTTGCACTTACCACCTACATTTTAATTTGTGACTTTAGATTCAGTGCAATATCTATTAATACTAGGCTACACAGTGTGTCATGCAAAATCAGTAATAAGAGCCATGCAAGCTTTTTAGGATCTCAAGCACAGCTATGTTAGTAAGAGAGCGAGTTAGAGCAGTGAAATTCTATTTCAGCAGAGCTGCATTTGTCATTTATAGACTGCACTTCCTTCTATTACTGAATGTGGGAAATGGTATGTCTAGTGATGCCCAAATGATGAAGCAACGTTGGAGGCAAGTGAGACATTTTACACCTTTAATAGCCAGGATGTATTTAAGTGGTGACAACCTGCAGCAGACTATGTGTTTATGTAAAACTACTAGGGATGTCCCACCCTAATATTGCCTACATCATTTCTGAGTCATTTTCGATCTTCTGTGCCCCAAGTTGTGAACCAAAGCGCAATATGTCAATTACTATCACCAAGCGATGCAAAAAGAACTGTATAGCAAGGACAGACATTGGTTTGCATGCATTTCAGCATCATGCTTCTGAAGTGCTGCTGTAAGATGAAAACTGCATTTTTCAGTATTTTGTTCATACTCGAGATAAAGATATGAGACTGTCTAAATTTTGCCCACAAAAGATCCACACTAACACCAATTTCTCCACTGATAATATACAAAAAATATACAAAAACATCTGGTAGACGTGGATATATTTCACAAGATAATGATGAAATATTTGACCTACTATTGGCTCTAGATGGAAAGTTGGGATCACTGATGGTAATCCATCCAGCAGATTTGCCATCGCTAGAACCAAAATAATCATGTGGCTAAAAATCAATCTTTGTTTGAGCAGGTACTATATATTAAAGAGCTTGTATTGTGGCGAAAAAATGGGACATCCCTTAAAACTTCAATTACAAGTATGTATGTAATCTACTGTGCAGGTGTGTTAAATCTACAAGTAATCTCAAATATTCACAATATTTCCCAAATTATCTGTGCACATTAGCAGATTGATGAACTATTGCACTATTTATCTACTACTCTCTGACTTATAAAAGAAAAAAAGAAAAGAATCCACTAAGGAAAAAGGAAAGAGCAAAAACCTTAAGACTTTCAAAGTCTCTCTGGTATTTCTCTCTCAGGCTGGCCACATCTCCTTCTAGGTGCTTGTTCTCCAGTTCATCCCTCATGGTGTTCATCTGAGTTTCCAGCTCCTGGATCCGATCCTTCAGAACCACCATGGAGTCTACCTCTGACATGTTCTGTGCATTCTCCCCCTTCCCCTGCTCTTCCTCTTCCATTGGTGTAGTGGCCTCATCACAAGGAGGCGAATGGGAAACATCAAGGCCTTTTTTGTCCTGTTGGTACTCTTGGACACGTTGAATGTTTTCCATATACTGGGAATGTAACTTTTCAATTTCCTCTTTGTGGATTTGCTGCAGCTCACAGATCCTCTGTTCAAACTGCTCCTCCAGTTTCCTCACATGACTCTCGTGTCGCTCTTCCATGGTGTCCATGTCCACCAGCAGAACCTCTAGCTTTCTCTGACTGTCAGCTGTGGTCTCCATGAGGGCCAGTTCTGTTGAGGCACGGCCTTTCTCTGCTTGGCTAAGCTCTTGCTTGTGCCTCTGCTTTAGCTCTTCAGTCTCCTTCTGGAAATGCTCCTCCAGGAGAGCCAGTTGCTCTTGCTGCTGGGAGAGCTGGTTCACACGTTTGCTGATCTCACTCTTTAGTGTTTGGTTCTCCTTCTGGAGAGTGCCCACTGTTTGTGTGAAGTTCAGGCGCTCCTCTTGTAAGGATGCTTCATATTTCTCTTGGATTGCACTGACATTGTGGGCATGCTGCTGGACAAGAGCATCCATGTTTTGACCTGTCTGTTGACACCAGCCCAAGTCTTGTTCATGCATGGCCCGTAACCTGCATGCAACATAAGCCACTTGAGCTTGGATTAGGGCTTCGCGCATACAAAGAGAGGTACTTGTGAAATTATGTGAAGTTTGGTTCCCTAGAAGAGCATGGATCATTTTAGCCAGTGCAGGGTGGTTTCCACCACTTTCTATCTCTTGAGCATACTTATGGAGAATTGCTGCTTGTCTTTGAAGCTCATTAGCCAGGTTGTCATGTGCAGTTTGCAGTGATTCAATAGAGTCAGCACCACAAGAGGTACTTTCCCCCGATAAGTGTCTGTCTACAATTTCCTCAGCCAAGTCTCGAGCCTCTTCCATTTTAATCTGCTCCATGTAGGGAGCAAGTTCAGGGGGGTGAACGTCAGCTAACTTTTGTTTACTAAACCCAAAGTTATTTTTGACTTCTTTTATTACATTTTTCAAATCAGGTCTTTTGGAAGCTTCAATAATTGCTCTAAGAGCCATTTCCCTTTGATATAGGTTATTTCGGGCTTCAGTTAACTCCCTTTTCAGAATTTTGAACTTCTCTTCATAGCAATGTTTAAGGTTTTGAATAGAGTAGGCTAGCTCTGCTTTAATGAAGGTGTTAAAGATAACGGTGGCATCAACATCTACATCGGGTGAAACACTTCCCTCTTTGGATTTAGCAACATCTGTCTCAGCTTTCTCCAGTTCTTTCCAGAATGCACTCTCTAACATCAACTTCCTGGTCAAGACATCAGCATAAACTATGGCCAAGCAATCTTTGTCACTCTTTTTAATGTTTTCTATGTCTTCCCATATCTCTGCAAGAGCTTGCAGGATGTCAGACTTTGAAGTCTGTATTAACAAAGCCATTTTGTTCAACACTATTGCTTCAAATGACAGAGTTTTGGTAAAGAGGTGCAAGGCGTCTTTATCTAGAGTCTCTGGGTTTTGATTTTGATGGACAACTGGTGATTGCTCCTCCAATGTCTTTTGTCCTTGTCTGATGTACAGTGATGCATTAAACAAATCGTTCTCTATCTCTGACAATGAGTGTAGCTGTGAATCAGTGGTATCATGAGAGCCACTGAGAATAGCCTTGACTTTCTCCCGACTATTTTCCACATACACCAGGGCCATGGCATAATGCTTATTGGCAGCACTGCCCTGTATCCCACTTCCACAACTCAACTCTTTATCAGGGCTAGGCTTTGTTTCTGTCATCTTCAGATCAATCTTGGACATGTGTTCTGTTTGGATAGATCGTTGCTCTTCTAGATTCTGTGTGAGGTTTCTTAGTTTCTCCTCAGTAGCCAGCAATTTAGTCTCCAGGGCATGTATGATAGAGATAAACTTCTCTGGGTCACTACTGTGAGGGAATGTGATATCAGAGGAGATGTTTCCTTCAGTTAGATGGATGTCCTCATTTACGTCCTGATTAACTTTTTGTCTTGTCTCTGCAAAGGTACTGCTCACATGACTAGTGTCCATGCTCTCTAGATTTATGTATTTTTGGCACTGAATACTGGAAAAACGTATCCTTGGTCTCTTAGCTTGAGATTCTTTATCATCTGGGGGGTTCTCTGTCTTGGGTGTCTTGTCAAAGGAAAGTGGGAGCCCTGTGTTTGATGATAAGGAGGCTGATGTTTTCAGCCTTACCTTCTTGGTCTGTTCTGGGTTTTGCTTCCTTTCCATCCGTAGGTCAGCATAGCCCAGCTGCAAAGCATTGAGATGCTGCTCTAGCTCTGCTATGCGGTCCTCTGCAACCACAAGCTTCGCTTGCAGGTCCTTTTCAGCACTACAGGGCTCAACCTTACCTAAGAGGCTTTGACTCATTTGACAAAGAAGCTCCTCCTTAGCTTGCAATTTATGTTCTGTTTCCTCCAAGCTGTTGCCAAGTGCAGTCATTTTAACAAGGGCCTCTTTCAAGTCGTCTTCCTTACGTTCCACCAGCCTCTCATACATCTCCTTAGTTTGCCGGATCTCTTCCTCTTTTTCTCTAAGGAACTGGCTCATTTTCTGAAACTCTTGGGTAGCCCTCTCATATGAGTGCTCCAGTGTGTTGTAATCAGCCTCTTCCGTTTCCAGACGATTGCGGAGCTTATTCACCTCACGGTCTGCTTCTGCAATCTGGTTAATTAGCTCCTGACAGCGGCATGTGAGATGGCCTTTCTCTTCTTCTAGCCTACGTACACTCTCCCTCAGTGACTCAACCATGTCAGTCTTATGGGCCAGCTCCTCTTGCAACTTCAACATTTCCTCCCTGTATTCTTTGCTTCCTGAGGCCTGCCTCCCTCTTAACAGGGCCTCCACCTGCTGCTCAGCCTCCAACAGTCTGTTCTCCATCTCTCTCTGTGCAGTTTCAGCCTCAGCTAATCTTCGACATAGATTCTGTCTTTCCCTCTCATGACTCTCTTGCATGCTATGTTGCTCCTTCCTCAGGCGTTCCTCCTTCAGTGCCTGACCCTCTTCAGTAGCACTTAGCCGAGCAGTCACCTCCTGCAGTCTCTCCTGCAGCCTCTGTATCTCTCTCATGTGGTCTCGTTGCAGGGCTTGCTGGCGCTCCAGGTGCCTAAGAGCCTGGTTTCGCTCTAAGAGGTTGGCCTCTACTTCACGGAGTCTATCTTCACTGTCCTTCAGTTGGGCTCGTAGGGTGGTCTCACTACGACCATGTTCCTCTTCTTGTTCCTTTGAACGCTCCTGCTCTAGCTTGAGCTCATTGCGCATTCTGACCACAGCCTGTTCACTAGCCAAGATTTCAGCCATTGCAGATGCTAGTTTAGTCTGCAGAGCCTGAATATCAGTCTCATGGCGGTCTACAGCATCCTGGGCTTCTGTGTAGCTTCTCTTTAGTGTCCGAATCTGTTGTTGAGCAAGGTCCTGCTTACGCTTTTGGGCCTCCAACTCGCCCTGCAAATCTTGATTAAGTGCGTGCAAGTGTTGCCATGGCACTCTGTGCGGTGAAGAGGAAGGGGGTGTTGTACTCTTGAAAAAGATTGATGAGACAGTTTCATTAATGACATCACCTTACTTCCCATATCATATACGGAGAACCACATCTCGGGGGTTACCAGGAAAATAAGTTTGCTCCTTTTGCTTTTGATAAGCATTTTTTCCAAGCTTCCACTGTGCTTTTTCAGAGGTGACTTGGAAATTGAAAGGTTTTAATGAATACACCTTCCCACCCCCCAAAAATACAAGAAGAAATTGGAAGAAATGGGAGGCTAATACAGTGATTAAAAAAAAAAAAAACAGACCAACTAATGAAGTAAATGTAATATGATGAAACAAAATGACATTCTGGCTCTGTGATAAGTTCACTCTATACTTAAAACCGCACAATGTAACAAAGTGTAAAAAAGCACTTAGAGAATGCAATTCTGAAACACCAAAAAGCATGCAGAAATCAAGCTTGGAAAGGACAGACAGACAAAGCACAAATGAACAAAGAGAAAAAGCACAGCGCAAGGCTCCTTGATCAAGTTTCTTACCTTAAGCATATCAGATCAAATAAATTATTTTCCCAGGAGATGTGAAACTCCGCAAAAAACAGTTAGTGAAAACTCATGCTAAGAACACCACAACCATGCTGATCAATTTCAGAGAATAAGCACCCACACCCGTTAGTAGAGTTTTATACAAGTTATAGTAGCCACACATAAATATGATCTATCATGAGCCAGTAGACTGTGTAGCAAAAATACAATCTACACAGTACTGTGAAACAGTTAATAACATTTACTAGCAAACCTTAATAGCATTCTGAACATTTAATGCTCAAGATTTCTTTGTCAAAATTAATGTTGCATTGCTATTTTTAAACATATACTAATCCTGCATGATGAATTGTGAATCTTGTACCTGCAGTACATAGCCCTCTCTGGCACTTTGTTCTCTCCCTAGTGCATTTTCCAACTGCTCTTTTAAGACGTTGTTTTGCTTCTGTAGTCGGTCCAGCTCCTTCTGCTTCTGTCCCAACTATAACAGAGAAAGAAATAGAACAAATAATGAATGGCACAAAACGCTCAGATACATTCATATTCATGGAAAATGACCACATTAAGGAAACACACCTCTTTGTCTAGCAGCGCAGCAAGCTCATGTGCAGGCAATCTGTCAGAGGTTCCAGAGTTTCCTAAAGCTGTGTTGATGGGGATTTGCTTCTCTTCTCTTAATGGTGTTGTCTCCACCTGATGCCATCGCTGCTCAATCTCTTCTTGGACATCTGAAGTTCTGTTGTCCTTCTTATCTCCACTAGCAGGATGCATGGCTGTAGGGTGGTCTACTTCCATCTTTCCTTGCTCTTGGCATTCAGATATCGATGGCTGTACCGGGGATGTAGTGTTTAGCGTGGAAGTCATGGTGACACTAACAGTATTTGGCATGTGGGTTGCACTAGTTGTGCTATGTGGAGGGACACCCCTCCTAACATTCTCCTTTTCTGCTTCTTCTGTCATAGAAGGTGGGTGAGCACCTGACACAGAAGAGGTTTGGAGTGAGGAGGTAGAGACAGGTGAGGACGCTAATGAGGAAGGAGAAGAGGAGGGAGAGCAATATGAGGAAGTTGTGGAGAATGATGAGCTGAGGTCGACTGTTTCTGCTCGTTCCTTCATAGGCTTTTCTGTCTGTTCCATTTTGAACTCTGACCAGTCAAAAGTCTTGGAGCGACCCTCTCGTCTGCGCTCACGAACGCGACTTTTACGGGGCTCAGAGGGAGGAGCAGAGGCATTGTTGCCAGCTGGCTGTCTGTGGACGTCAGACTTGAGGGCCTCAGTATTGGGACTTGGCTCGGGGGTGGTCTGTGGACACGGCTCCAACATCACTTGGGCTTTTGTCTTCTCCTCAGGGAGAGATCTGAATAAACAAAAACACCAAAAATTAAAAAGACACATAAGATGTCTTTGACAGAACACGATTATGATTTGTTACATTTACATCAGCTGAAGCTACAATACTATTACATAGAGCTTTGCTGGACAAACAACAATGCATACACTTCTTGCAGAGCAGCATCATTTAATTGTGCATTAAAAGCCTCATAACAATCAGTGAAAAAGCGTAAACATCACAACGCTTATATTGCACACTGCATTAGGCTCAAAGCAGCTTTAGTGTTCACAGTCATGATCTGAGGTAAGCCTTAAGCCAGATGCCGGTTTTTAGTGACTATGTTAATGAAATTTGTATAGTTGCTTAACGCTGAAGAACGCATTTGCAATAAACTGCACACTGATTGGCACTTATAGTGTTAAGGGGCAGAGCATCTTTTAAAAAAGGGACCTGACGGAGTAATCTATTTTCACCACGATGGGGTGTCAGGAAGTGTGAGTAAGGGGAAAATGAGAAGGGACAGAGATCAAGAATGAGAAAGGTGTCTGTAAGGCGTCTATGCACAAATACCAAAAATATCACACATTCCCCGCATGGAGAGAGCTGCCTAAGACACACACACGCAGAGTAAGGTGTGTGACTCAGTAAATGCGGGTCAGAGCATGTATACAGTATCACATGGGATGAGCTACTTGAAAGGTAATACTCAGCTTTTAAGCACACAAAAATAAATGTTAAGGTTGTAAAAAAATCATCAGGTAAAGATCTTTATATCCCAGCTCTTCTCTCTATTCACTCTTTCCATCTTCAGTTGTGAGTTGTGACCATTCCCAAAGCTTACTGAATAGTCACATTACAATGATCATTAAAATAAGTCTCTGCTGTTCCTCAAGAGCAGGTTGGGTAGATTATTCTAGTATGTTGATGTGATTGCAGTGTGTGTCTCTACAGTGGCACAACTGACAGGGAGACATTACTCAACAATCACATGACATAGGGTGGGACGACAAACACGCTGGGGCTGACATTGCTGAGCAATAACATCACTGTTTGAGGAGGGGGAGATATTCAACACACGAGCACTCCAACCTGGGCTTCAGAACGGATAGTTTCAGAGAGATGTTTTTCCTGGAAGCAGGGTGAAAATACCAGTTGAGAGAGGAAGAGAAAGAAGGAAAGAGAGGGTGATGAGGAGAGAGGGATTAAGATATAATAAGTGAGAAAAGCAGTTGTTATATCTGCCAGTAGTTAAAGTGTTAATCCTCTTTGGGTATTACCGGGTGACATCTGGGGCAATAGTGGGTCGCACATTCTTCATAATGGCCTGAATCCAGTTGCGACGGATTCCAGAGGTCATGGCTGACAGGGTGCACGCTCCCTCTTTACACTGAAAGCAGACAGGCATCGCATTTACATGACTGACAGGGATGACAACATGTCGATAAAAATAACTTTTCAACACAACAAAGAATCTAAGCAAATGTTTTCGTATGAGCCTCAAATAAAGTTAAGATATGCAGCAGAGGAATTCCTCAGACAATGAAAGGCTCATTTGTTTTCTTTCACTAAATGTGAGTAGAAAATCTACATTTTTTTCAGTAACTTCTTTAAAAAAAAAGGTCCAGTGTGTAACTGAGAGCATCGATTAGCAGAAATGGAATATATTATGCAAACATATGTTCTCATTTGTATATAATCACCTGAAAATATGAATTGTTGTGTTTTTGGTACCCTAGAATGAAACCTTTATATCTACAGACCCATGCAGGTTGCCTTTCATGTTGAATTGCCATGCTTCTACAGTAGCCCAGTAGAGACAAACCAAACACTGGCTCTAGATAAGGTGTTCAGTTTTTTTTTTGCAAGTTTTGTAGCCACTATAGTTTCGCCTCCGTGGTTGAAAGAGGACCACTAAATGCCACTACACACTACTACTACCATTTCCAAAAACTAAATCTGAAGAAAACAATGTTGTTGCTGTTGTTGATCTGAACATCCTATGCACTCGACCCTTCAGGGCAGTTGTTTTGTCACAAATTTAGACAGCTTGATTGCAGTTGCTGCCTTCAGGGGTTTACACACTTTTTCTTACAAAGAGTCGTCAAAAAGTCTATGTTCAGCTGAACTGTAAATAAACTGAATACACTATGGATTTACCTTAAGACCTGTGCAACATGGGTGTTTTAAATTGACCGCCCTATAGTGATAGTTGTACTATAGACTC